TGCAGACACTCTCCGATCTATTCTAAAGACGTTCGATTAAAAATACACCCCAAATCGAATGTTATCTGGCATAAAGCCTTCATATAATGGGTGATATATCGAGGGCTGGTTATAGTGGAAATCCGTATCTAAACCTGTCGGTGTTTCTCGCTGTGGTCGACTCACTTGTTATCCTGTGGGTTGTCCTTCCATGCCAGGAACAGATCCCTGGCCTCCTGCAGACAGTCCTGGTTGTAGACATTGCATGCTGCAGTGGACACCTCACGCTGGGCAAACCTACAATGTCAGGTTGTCATATTTAAGACACTATTGTACGTATTGGACAACTTACTGGGGAGGAAACCTACCATGTCAGGTTGTCATATTGAAGACAGTCTGTACTAAAAACTTTCGGAGCAGAAAACCTACACTGCCAGACTGTCCTGATGAAGACAGTTTGTGATAACAACTTTCGGAGCAGCAAACCTACAATGTCAGACAGCCCTGATGAAGACAGTTTGTCAGACAGTCTTTATGAAGACAATCTGTCCTAACAACTTTCGGAGCAGCAAACCTACAATGCCAGACCGTTCTGATGAAGACAATCTGTACTAACAACTTTCGGAGCAGCAAACCTACAATGTCAGACAGCCCTGATGAAGACAGTTTGTCAGACAGTCTTTATGAAGACAATCTGTACTAACAACTTTCGGAGCAGCAAACCTACAATGCCATACAGCCCTAATGAAGACAATCTGTACTAACAACTTTCGGAGCAGCAAACCTACAATGCCAGACAGTCTTTATGAATACACTACAGTCCGTACTGGACAAATTTTCTAAGCAGCAAATATTCATAGCCAGACAGTCCTGATTAATTACACCAGAACCTGCATTGGACAAATCTATGTGACAACCCCCACAGTGCCTGACACGTGCGACAGTTGTCGGTTAGTCGTATTGAAGAAACAACAGTTGGTATTGGACACCTTCTGAGCAGCAAACCTACAGTGTCAGACAGTCCGATTGAAGACACCACAGTCCTTACCGGACACATTTCTATGCGATCAAGCTACAGTGTCAGACAGTTCGATTTCAGACACTACATTGGATAACATTCTGAGAAGATTCTGAACCTAACAAATGGTGTCCTCCTATTCTTCAGACACTTGAAGAGAGGGGTTAATAACCCTCACCACACAGCAATAATGAAACAGCTTAATTAGCCTACTCGGTGCTCAGGAGAGTAGAGAGTTTTTTCCGTACTGAAGAGGCCACAGGCCTATAGTACATAATTCATACATACATTTATATCGCCCGAGTAGTAACTTTTACATTTTTTTCAGATATTATTATTTTTCTTTCTTTGCACTGTTGCATGGAATATAAACATTGATAACTTCTGAAGTATTTAAATATTTTAAGCTGTCTGCAGAATGACTGTCTGAAGAATGGGAGATCAGCGAACAAATTAGCTATCTTCAATATTCACAATGTTTGAGAGAACCAATATATTTACGACTCTATCTGTCCTTCTGCTGGCGTCCGTAAACCATAAAACCTGAAGGCTGCGTCGCTGCTCGATCTCAGGAATTCCTGAAACAGACAAGCTATTGTAAGTAAGGACCAACCGTTTTTAAATGAATGAGTGAGTATGGTTTTACGCCGCTTTTAGCAATATTCCAGCAACATCACAGAGGGGAACACCTGAAACGAGCTTCACACATTTTACCCATGTGGGGAATCAAACGTGGGTCTTCGGCGTGACAAGCGAACGCTCAATTTAGTACGGATTAGTACATTTAGTTGAGAACGTTATCCTTATATAATGGATACTGTGATTGTCTCGTTCATCTGGATCAGCTTGTCTCAGACTCACTCATTCACTCACTCACTCACTCTACCCGAAAGGCGGGGTATATCTCGGTGTCCCGGATCATGGTGTCTATGTTGACCAGCTTGTCTCGGGCCGACTCACTCACTCACTCTACCTGAAAGGCGGGGTATATCTCGGTGTCCCGGATCATGGTGTCTATGTTGACCAGCTTGTCTCGGGCCGACTCACTCACTCACTCTACCTGACAGGCGGGGTATATCTCGGTGTCCCGGATCATGGCGTCTATGTAGACCAGCTTGTCTCGGGCCGACTCACTCACTCACTCTACCTGAAAGGCGGGGTATATCTAGGTGTCCCGGATCATGGCGCCTCATGTAGACCCAGCTTGTCTCAGGCCGACTCACTCACTCACTCTACCTGAAAGGCGGGGTATATCTCGGTGTCCCGGATCATGGTGTCTCTATGTAGACCAGCTTGTCTCGGGCCGACTCCACTCACTCTACCTGAAAGGCAGGGGGTCTATCTCGGTGTCCCGGATCATGGTGTCTATGTAGACCAGCTTGTCTCGGGCCGACTCACTCACTCACTCTACCTGAAAGGCGGGGTATATCTAGGTGTCCCGGATCATGGTGTCTATGTAGACCAGCTTGTCTCGGGCCGACTCACTCACTCTACCTGAAAGGCGGGGTCTATCTCGGTGTCCCGGATCATGGCGTCTATGTAGACCAGCTTGTCTCGGGCCGACTCACTCACTCACTCTACCTGAAAGGCGGGGTATATCTCGGTGTCCCGGATCATGGCGCCTATGTAGACCAGCTTGTCTCGGGCCGACTCACTCACTCACTCTACCTGAAAGGCGGGGTCTATCTCGGTGTCCCGGATCATGGTGTCTATGTAGACCAGCTTGTCTCGGGCCGACTCACTCACTCTACCTGAAAGGCGGGGTCTATCTCGGTGTCCCAGATCATGGTGTCTATGTAGACCAGCTTGTCTCGGGCCGACTCACTCACTCACTCTACCTGAAAGGCGGGGTATATCTAGGTGTCCCGGATCATGGCGCCTATGTAGACCAGCTTGTCTCGGGCCGACTCACTCACTCACTCTACCTGAAAGGCAGGGTCTATCTCGGTGTCCCGGATCATGGCGCCTATGTAGACCAGCTTGTCTCGGGCCGACTCACTCACTCACTCTACCTGAAAGGCGGGTTATATCTCGGTGTCCCGGATCATGGCGTCTATGTAGACCAGCTTGTCTCAGACAGACTCACTCACTCACTCTACCTGAAAGGCGGGGTATATCTCGGTGTCCCGGATCATGGCGCCTATGTAGACCAGCTTGTCTCGGGCCGACTCACTCACTCACTCTACCTGAAAGGCGGGGTATATCTCGGTGTCCCGGATCATGGTGTCTATGTAGACCAGCTTGTCTCGGGCCGACTCACTCACTCTACCTGAAAGGCGGGGTCTATCTCGGTGTCCCGGATCATGGTGTCTATGTAGACCAGCTTGTCTCGGGCCGACTCACTCACTCTACCTGAAAGGCGGGGTATATCTCGGTGTCCCGGATCATGGTGTCTATGTAGACCAGCTTGTCTCGGGCGGATTCACTCACTCACTCTACCTGAAAGGTGGGGTATATCTAGGTGTCCCGGATCATGGCGTCTATGAAGACCAGCTTGTCTCAGACAGACTCACTCACTCACTCTACCTGAAAGGCGGGTTATATCTCGGTGTCCCGGATCATGGCGTCTATGTAGACCAGCTTGTCTCAGACAGACTCACTCACTCACTCTACCTGAAAGGCGGGGTATATCTAGGTGTCCCGGATCATGGCGCCTATGTAGACCAGCTTGTCTCGGGCCGACTCACTCACTCACTCTACCTGAAAGGCGGGGTATATCTCGGTGTCCCGGATCATGGTGTCTATGTAGACCAGCTTGTCTCGGGCCGACTCACTCACTCTACCTACCTGAAAGGCGGGGTCCTATCTCGGTGTCCCGGATCATGGTGTCTATGTAGACCAGCTTGTCTCGGGCCGACTCACACCACTCTACCTGAAAGGCGGGTATATCTCGGTGTCCCGGATCATGGTGTCTATGTAGACCAGCTTGTCTCGGGCGGATTCACTCACTCACTCTACCTGAAAGGTGGGGTATATCTAGGTGTCCCGGATCATGGCGTCTATGAAGACCAGCTTGTCTCAGACAGACTCACTCACTCACTCTACCTGAAAGGCGGGGTATATCTCGGTGTCCCGGATCATGGCGTCTATGAAGACCAGCTTGTCTCAGACAGACTCACTCACTCACTCTACCTGAAAGGCGGGGTATATCTCGGTGTCCCGGATCATGGTGTCTATGTAGACCAGCTTGTCTCGGGCCGTGCTCCACGGGTAGTAGTTCAACTCCGCCGACAGATATTCCAGTGTCTGTAATCCAGTCAGCTGCGCCAGGTAACCAGCCCTTAAAACACGGATCGACCAAACATATTATCAGCCATAGAGAGTGAGTGCTGAATGCCATGTCGGTGACTTGCGCAGACCTTAGCTGCGGTGCATGAGTGAATGAGTGATTTCATATTACACCGTTTTTAAGCAATATTCCAGCAATATCCCTTCTGGGACACCAGAAATAGGCTTCACATATTGTACTCATGTGGGGAATCAAAATCGGGTCTTAGGCGTGACGAGCGGACGCTTTAACCACTAGGCTACCCCACCGCCCCCTTATTCCTACCTTCATGAAGTCAGGATTCTCTGAACACGAACACGCACTTAACACTATATGGCGGCGGTCTGTAAATCATTAAGTCTGTACCAGACATTCCAGTGATCAACAGCATGAGCATCAATCTACGCAATTGGGAACCGATGACTTGTGTCAACCAAGTCAGCGAGCCTGACCACTCTGTCCCGTTAGTCGCCTCTTACGACAAGAATGGGTTACTGAAGATTAATATTCTAACCCGGACCTTCACGGGTCCATATAGCGACGAGAGATTAACGAACTTAAATGTGTGTAATACAGGAAGTCAATTTTTGGTTGTCTGATAAATACCAACACCGATCGCCACGATTCTGGAGGTAAGGAGGTAGTCAAAGCAAGTCGTGGTACTGTGACGGCGAGGGATGGTGTTCATAATATCAGTCACTGGTTTGGCATTTTTACCTGGCTAAGTCCATGGCGTCGTTGATGATCTGAGCTCGATTTATTGGAATGATCACCTGTAAAAACAAAGATGTATGAATATCAATGGTAGGCAAAAGGTGGAATGGGGCGGGTTGAAGTCCTCAAAGGCAGAGTTACCTGCCTTGGGCACATAAAACAACTGTTTTGATTGTTGTTTAACGCTGCTCATCACTATTGCAGCTGTAAGGAGGTGGTCTTCAGCCATCCATGCTTGTCGCAAGAGGCGACTAACGGTATCGAATCGTCAGGCTCGCTGACTTGGTTGACTCATGTCATCGGTTCCAAATTGCGTAGATTGATGCTCATGCTGTTGATCACTGGATTGTCTGATCTATGCTCTATTATGTACAGATCGCTGTAACGTAGCTGGAATATTGGTTTTGTCTTTTTTTCTGATGTAGATACGATCAAATATGAACAAATATTGATATATTTTTTATCCTTTTTATTTAAAAAAATATAAACCGATAAATATGCTTCGTAAGCCGACCGACCGATCGGTTCAACTTTGGATCATACAGGCTATGTGAAGGTTCAATCGCATGAAATGAAGGTATTCTGGTGCATGTCATCGTCTGCCAAGCGAGTGGATTGATTCTCAGAACTGTTCACCAAACTGAACAATGATTTAAAACATTTATTTCACAGCTACTTGCCTCGTGGTTTTCTTTAAGCTGCTTGATGATGTTCTTCCAGTTGTCTTCATCATAGCTGACGCGATAGTAACCATGGTGACGGATATTACCCAGAATCCAACTCGACTCATCGCTCGGGTCCGGTATCGTAACGGTGGTGTCATAAACATCTGAAATGTACATGTGCCACTCAACTCGATGATCTCAGCCTTATAAGAAATAGTTTTCAAATACGAGAACGTGTACATATACTGAGTCAAAAAAGAAACTTCACAAAATGTAATTTAAAAAATAATGAATAATTTTTCTCTGATGATACATCTATGTATCCGAAATGGGATCCCTACCTTTCGACTCTAGAAAAACGTTAGCAAAACCCACTCAAACCCATCCATTCGTCGTGCAAATGATGTTAGTGCCAAATAAGGTTTTGCACGTGCCCAAATAAGGTTTTGCACGTGCAGTCAATCACGTGATCTTCGCATCGAAGTTTTTTTTTCATATGCACGTGTTTGCATTTGCATCAAGAATTAAAAAAACATTTTTAAACCACAGTTCTGACGGTACTTGAAATGCCACGATTGTCAAATGTGCAACGTGAACGTGCCGTTGGCATGTTGCAAGCGGGAAGATCAGTTATTGACGTCGCAAGAGCAATGGGATGCAGCCGTCGTACTGTGTATGACTTGCGAGGTCGTCTACAACAAACTGGCACCACTTCTGATCGCCCAAGGTCGGGTCGTCCACGTGTGTCGTCACGAACAGATGACCGTCAAATCGTCCTACGTCACCTACGTGACAGATTTCTGCCGGCTAAACGAACCAGGGCTGAGATGTTTAGAGGTCGACTGTCCTCAGAGACCATTCGAAATCGGTTGCGGGCTGCCAATCTCCATTCTCGACGTCCATATCGTGGCCCAATATTGACGCCGTTTCATCAACGTTAACGTCTGCTGTGGGCCCAACGTCACCTCCGATGGACCCAGAGAGACTGGAATCGAGTCGTCTTTAGCGATGAATCCAGGTTTACCATCAGATTCGCGGACGGCAGGCATAGAGTCTGGAGACGACGTCGTGAACAGTATGCCCAATGTTGTGTACAGGAAGTCGACAGATTCAGGGGCGGAAGTTGCATGGTGTGGGGTGCTTTCTGTGGGAACGACCGTTCCCGACTTCTGGTCATCCGTGGAAACCTCACACCTGCTGCTTACCGCGACCAGGTGCTCACCCCTGAACTCGTTCCTTTCATGGCGCCTCATGCCCCAGGCCTACAGTTCCAGCATGATAATGCTCGGCCACATACCGCGATGTTGACACGAAATTTCCTTCAAAACGCTGGAATCAACGTCATGGACTGGCCATCGAAGTCCCCTGACCTTAATCCAATAGAGCACGTTTGGGATGCACTTGGGAGAAGGCTTCGTGGTCTTAGGAACCAGCCTCAGAATTTGCAGGAACTTGGCGCTGCCTTGCAAGAGCAATGGCGCAGAATCCCCAACCACGTGTTCACAAGCATCAGGCAGTCGATGAGGAGACGGTGTTTGGCAGTGTTGAATGCGCGGGGTGGCCATACACGATATTGAACTGAAAAAATTTTGATTTTAATTCTTGTGACTTGACATTCTGTATACCCATTTTTTGGAACGGCGGTGTAGCCTAATGGAACTGATTATGGCACTGTCAGTGTATCGATTACATCACACAGATCTCTGCAATGAAATAATAACAATTTAACCATCTTACCATCTCTTGTTCTTTTATAGTGCCCTGAAGAAAGAATGTGGATTTTCTTTTTTGACTCAGTATATTTGTCGAGTTTTATCAGTAGACATTCAGTCTATTCAATATAAGCATGTTTTGTGTATATAATCACTATGTGTAATCGTGGAGCCCGTTAAACAAAGCGATTTTAGTTTTCAGATGTTCGTGGCAGTTGGCGAAAATAGCCACTGGCCCGCTAGCCCGTGGCTAGTAAAAATCCAGTCGGGCAAGTACATCTCCACAGTCACCCGCCCAACTGGCTCGAGAATATTCATGGGGTCATTTTATAAATATTTCACTCTCTCCGACTTATTAAATTACAATACACTTGTAAATCATGGAAGATTATGGCCAAATAAAAATGTTCATCATATTAACAGCTTAATGATAAACCGGTGTCATGTCAACAATATCTTATTCCCATCTATTTTTGCAACCTTTTGTTAGTTTCCACATTCAAATTTCGGGCTAGTGAGTTATTTCGTTGGGCAGTAGTTTCAGGCATAGCTAGCCCGACTATCTAGCTAGCAGAATTTGGAACTTATTTCGCGCACTGGTCCATGGTCGTCCCAACCCTCAGTGGGGTTGGCAATAAGGGGGCTCAACAAGTCCAGGGTTCCGATCCACAAAGCGTTCGTAACCTTACGACCTGTCGTAACTCTATTGTTAAGTATGGCTTACGAATGTCGTAGCGCTACAATCGTTTTGTGGATCGGGACCCAGGTCAAATCGGTCATAGTATAAAGTGTCTGAGTGAGGTATCCATTTTAATCGGTGCCATCGTATCTCAGTAAGTTAACACTATATGACCAGCCTAATTCAAGAATTGTACAGCCTGCCACGCACACTTGTGCTTGACCGCGGCATTTAATCCCGTTTTACACGCAGCTTGAGGAGACAAAGTCAACACCTTGGTCGTCTTCTACAGGCCATGATCACTTTAAGAGTTGACCCGTGAAGTTCCGCGTTAGACTGGTCTTCAGTTGCCCATGCTTGCCGTATGGCTGGAGTCGCTGACGTGATTGCCATTGTCTAAATAATCGATTCTGGACCACACAATCCAGTGTTTGATAAAATAAGCTTCAAACTTAGATTACGACGACATGCATCAAGTCAACTGGGATGATCCCCTCGACAGTTTTCGTCGCCTCTTAAGACAGGGCCCTTGAAGATCAGATCGGGTTTAAATTGATCTTCAGTAACCCATGTTTGCCGGAATCGGGTTGTCAGGCTCGCTGACTTGGTTGACATGTTATTGTATCTCAGTTGAGCAGATCGATGCTGTCAATCAGTCTGGTCCAGACTCGATTATTAACAGACCACTGCCATATAGCTGGAATATTGCTGAGTGTGACGTTAAGAAATTACCAAAAACTTAAAGAGTTAATGAACTATACATAACACGGCCTTGAAAATGGATATTTAAAACGCCGAGACTGGAATTCAAAGGAAAGACACGAAAATATTTGGACGGTGCTGTTGCAAAATCAGAAATATTCAGTGAACATGAACATGGATGAATAGACTCGTTATCTCCGCATCTTTTGATTTCACTGCGTTGTTGGTTTGCTAACAAATACTGTCCTTCAGTTGTTGTTAAAGAGTATCATTTGTAATCTCCATCTGTCGACCGCCTCCGTGGTGTAGTGGTTAGAGCGTCCGCCCGGAGAGCGGAAGGTCGCGGGTTCGATACCCGACGTTAACAGACGTTAAAATATGGTACTTGTTGGTCCCTGTCTGGCACTCGGCATTAATGGATACAACAAGGACTGGTCGGCTCGGAGTCAGTATAATGTGTCTGAGTTGGGTATTCATGCTTCACTGCGGCGTGGTATCTCAGTGGGCTACCGCTATAAAACCAGCTTAAGTCTGGGTTAGTACAAGCAGCCGCACATACACATACACACGAATGCACGTCGTCATATGAGCGAAATATTCTCCAGCACGACGTTAAACCCAATTTCACCTCACCTCATCTCCACCTGTCACGATGAACACTACCTATTAATAGATAAACGTCCTTTGAAAATAGACTGCAGCAAAAAGTCATCTCGAACACAGATGTGAGTGTTTTCTATGCTATTTTCACGGCGGCCAATAGGAATCAAAACTTTGGTTTATCTTGGCATCCATTAAAGTGAATACATAAGTATGGTTTTACGCCGCACTGGGCATCATTCCAGCAATATCACTTCAGGGGACACCGGAATGGGCTGTACGCATTGTACCGATGTAGGGATTTGAACCCGGGTATTCGGCGTGACGAGCGAACGCTTTCACCACTGGGATACTCCACCGCACCAGCACCATTAAGCTTTCAACCAAAGTAGCATATTTACGTTTTACGTAATCAAAGGCGAATGATGTGGCGAAAAGCATTCAATAGGTTTCCAACATTGACAGTAAACCCTTCAGTACCAACATAACCACCAGGCTACCCAACCACCACCATTGTTTCAGAGTGAGTGAGTATGTTTTTAAGCCGCTTTTAGCAATATTCCAGCAATATCACGGCAGGGGGCACCAGAAATGGGCTTCACATATTGTACCCATATGGGAATCGAACCCGGGTCTTGACGGCGTGACGATCGAACGCTTTAACCACTAGGCTACCCCATCGTCTCGTATTCCACAATTAACAAACAAATGTCACCGTTGGCCATAAAAAGAGGCTTGCCGTGTCACTTCTGTTGAATAATCTCGCTTTGGTATTGCTAACTGATAACGTTTCCGTGAACGTCCTAAAGCCGCCTTTACCTGCTGTGTCGTTTCTCAGCATCCAGATGATGTCGGCGTCAGTGACGTCGAAATTCTTCTGGTCGCTCGTGGTGAACGTGAAGGGGATGTTCCAGGTGTAACTGAAGACGTAGAGATATACGCAGCACATAGTAATACGTAAGTGAGTGAGTTTAGTTTTACGCCGCACTCAGCAATATTCCAGCTATATGGCGACGGTCTGTAAATAATTGAGTATGACCTAGACAATCCAGTGATCAACTTCATGAGCATCGATCTACGCAATTGGGATACGATGACATGTGTCAACTAAGTCAGCGAGCCTGACCACCCGATCACGTAGTACAATACGTAAGGGCATAGGTGACATATACATGCATATGCATCAGGCACTGTTAAAGGTATCTTGTACGTATGTAGAGTTAAACATAAACTTATGTTCACCTTGTAAAGTTATATGTAAACTTACACAAAACAGCTGAAGATAATTTATTAAGAAAAGCGCACGTAAAATCTCCAGATCATCATCATCATCATCACGCGAGAATCACGGAAATTGACCTGGGGTAAGTGTACATGTACCAATATGCGAGCCCTGCGAGCCTTAAAAGCATTTTATAATTGTACGGAATATTGAGTGTCCGGATTAATGAGGTGTGACATAACGGGGATTCCTAAATAGAAAGGGTCTTGAGTATACATGGTAAGTGTAGATGTACCCAAATGAGAACTTTGTGAGTTCTAAAAACAGTTTTTTATTGTACGGAATGAAGAGTGTCCGGAGTAATCATGTGTGGAATAATGGGGATTCTCAATAAAAAGGGGTCTTACTTATACGGGGACACATATTTGCCGGGATCTGAAGAGGCAGGGTCAAACAGGAACCTCTCCTGCGTGAGCCGTATCATCTTGGGGCCAGCCCTGGACACGGTGACCACTGGATAGTTCATCTGCAGGGTCCACGTCTTCATCGTGTCCACCACGACGGCAGTCTTCTTCTCCTCTTCGGCTTGCTGCAACAGTGAGTGAAGAGAGTATATTTCCGTTTGTAGGCCATCGGCCCATGTACAAAAAGTATATACAATTCATATATACATATGTATGGCAATTGACAGGTATACGTGTATTACTATTCAACTAGTGCAGATTTACATTTCAGAGCTTCCTTAATAAACTTGGCACATTTAATCAGAATACTCACATCATGTGAGGTCAATAAATTATTGAATTTACAAATATTTGGTAAAGAATCCCAATTTGGTATATACTTCTTTCTTAAAGAAACATATGCATCACATTCAAATATGAAGTGAAACTAATTTTCAATACTATTATAATACACATTCTACATATTCTGTTTATAGTAAAAGGTTCTCATTGTCTAACATTACAACGTAAAGGAAGCTCATTTAACCTTAAGTAACTTCTTACTTCCCTGCTATTAATATTTGATAAATAATATTCAACTGTATACAATGATTTAATAAACTTATAATGTACAAGTCTCGATGAAACAGTAATATTGCTAAAAATGTTTTGTTGTCCACAATCTTCTAATCTTTGCTGAAATAACGACAAAATATATGAGATATCTCCAATATCTTGACTAAACCACGCATATCCAAAACCATACATATTCAACAATAACCTAACACACGAAGCCCACGTGTTCCTTCCAATAGAATCTAGATTCTTAATGTAAATTCTTAACAATTTACACCAATATTTCACACATTCCAAGTAATAATCTACATAAATTCCATGTCTACCACATTCAGCTAAAGCTGCGTTAGTAGCTACATGTTAACCTACACCTAAAACATATTTACAAAAACTATTATGAAATCTATCAATAACATATCTTTCCTGAAATCCCCACACTTCTGCACCATACAACAAAATTGTAAATCTGTTTTGGAGTCAACAATTTAAATAACATTTTAGCAGGACTTTTTGTATATTTATGCTGAAGCTGCTTAATAACAAATAAAGCCTTACTGGCTTTTGATACAAGAGCATTTGTACACACTGTCCATGACAACCTAGTGGAAAACATAACGCCCAGATAGTTATAATACGTCGTTGCTGTTTTGAGTGGTTTTCCATCAAAACTCCATTTCTCATAATTTCTTAAATAACCACCATTTCGAAATACTAATATTTTCTGTCTTATCCATATTTACTTGTAAGCCTCATGATTTGCATAAATTTGCATAAAATATCAATCTTTTTCTGTAAATAAATGACATTGTCATCGAAAATACATAAATCATCTGCATACAATAACAGAAGTAGCTCTTAATATTCTGCACCTATGAATATACATCTTAAGTCTGCATCCTCAATCATAGATTGAAACTCAGCAATGAACATTGAAAATAGAAATGGACTAATTCCACACCCTTGTCTAACTCCACTTAAGATATCAAAGTATTCTGTTATGGTAGTGTTCGATAATCTAACAGATGCCTTTATTTTAGAATACATATTTATCAATACTGTAAATAATTTACCATGGACACCTTTATTCATTATTGAATACCAGAGTAAATGTCTGTTAACAGAATCAAAAGCCTTCTTAAAATCTACATATACTCATGCCAATAATGGTTGTCATCCCCTTCAATTTTTTTTAATGGGAGAGGGGATGTGGGGGGATGGGGGGGTGACAACCATTATTGGCATGAGTATATATACAATAGAAACGTCCACCACTTTTAGAGAGATATTTTTGTACAAGACATTGTAATGTAAAAATATTATCAGCTGTACAATAACCTTTTCTAAATCCCGCCTGGGCTTCGGGAATACTGTGAAAAACATCAGCAAAACGTTTAAGACGTTCATTTATGATAGAGCAGAATATTTTCCCGACGGTATCCATCAAACATATACCCCTATAGTTATCAACACAATCGAAACTTCCTTTTTTGTGCAGTTGAACAATAATACCTTTAGTCCATTCAGATGGGAAGATACCCGTTGACATAATATTATTATATATAGCTAACAGATATGGAGCTAAAACATCACTACAACACTGAATCATTTCCGTTTTAATACCATCAGGTCCTGGTGCTTTACCCTCCTTAAGATCGTTTATGGCTGCTTCAATCTTTTCCTTTGTGGTGGTGGTGGTGGTGGAAGGCCACTGAGATACCATGCCACAGTGAATGCTTGAATACCCCACATTATACTGACTCCGAGCCGACCAGTTCTTGTTGTACCTATTAATGCCGAGCGCCAGGCAGGGACCAACAAGTACCATATTTTAACGTCTTTTGGTATGACGCGGTCAGGGACCGAACCCGCGACCTTCCGCACTCCGGGCGGACGCTCTAACCACTACACCACAGAGGCGGTCTTTTCCTTTGTAATATCAGCATTCAGAATATTATTTACATTATCATCTCTACAACCATCACACAGCTGATCGTCATGGTTATCAATGGTATAGTCTACATGCTCTATGAGAGAGCTATCTACAGGGAAATCAGTCAGGTTTAAGAGTCTCTTGAAATATTCCATCCAGTCATCTGTACTAATGTTGGAAAAACGACTTGACTGACTGACTGAGTTTAGTTTTATGCCGCTTTTAGCAATATTCCAGCAACATCACGGCGGGGTCACCAGAAATGGGTTTCACATATTGTACCCATGTGGGGATTCGAACCCGGGTCCTCGGCGTGACGAGCCAACGCTTTAACCACTAGGCTACCCCACCGCTCCGGAACTTTGGATGACTTAGGCACAGCCTTGGTTCGAATCTGGAACGCTACAGGACGAGACATTTTCAAAGACCTTGTTGACAGCATGAGGCGACGGATTGATAATAATGATGATAAGTGGTTTGTATAGCACCTAGTTTCCATCACAGATGCTGAACGGCGTTGTATACATCGTTAAAAACACAGTAAGAGTAAAAAGAGTTCTATTCAAAAGCCATCTTGAAGAAGTAGATTTTGAGCAAGATGATTGGGACTCAGTTCGTCTGAGGGTGACTGGAAGATTGTTCCACAGAGCTGGCGCTGCTGCAGAAAAGGCTCTATCATCCATTCAGGTTTTAGTGCTTGGCTGTGTCAGTCGTAACGTATCCATTGATCTAAGAGCCGTGGTGGGTACATGCAGATGTACGAGCTGGCGAAGGTATTCACAGGACTGGTCATCGTAGGGGCCGTTTTGTATCAGAAGCAGAATGTTTGAAGCAAAGTGAATATTACCTCCCTTATTGATGCACGTGGCGGAACTACTCGCTATTGACTACAATCTTCCTGACAACTGAATGTGCTGACGGTATGCTAAGAGTTGCAACTGTGCGTCGACAGTGCGTTCACTATGCTGACTGCGTGCCCAAAACGTTAGCCGGGCTTGCTGGCAAAATTCAGTCATGGTGAAATGAGGGTGACAAAGATGAGACTGCATATATACCACAACGCCCTGTAAACGCCATGCCAACGCTCATGGACGCGGTACAAGAGCCGTGGGGAGCGCAATGATCGCCGTGGCAGCTCTTGGGGAGCGCAGTAAACTAAATAACACACGTGTAAACGACGTATGAAGCGGTAGAGACGCAGTGACATCACTAAGGACTCCGTTTGGTCTCCGTGCAAGCGGCGCCGACTACCACTGCGTCCGTACTGCGATCGTGTGCGTCCATGCTGCGTGCCCACAGAGCTCCTGTGGCGCTTTAGGAGACCTTTCTGCGTTGCTACGGCGGCCCTACTGCGCGAATGTCAGAACGTAGAGCAACAGTGCGTACATTGTGCATGTTCAAAGTGCGCGCCGTCGCATGGCGTTCTAGGCGACCCCACCGCGTCTACTGAAGATGCCACCGCGTCTACTAGAGATGCCACCGCCTTGCTGGGGCGCTACAGGAGACCCTATTGCGCACACCTCGGCATTCTGCATTTTTCATGGACGCCGTGGAATCGCCCTGTTGTGACAGCTGTTTCATTTTCAGAAGTGGAAATGAACGGGGTAAGAAATAAATTTGCAGCTATCTTACATTCATATCAAGTTTCAAATGTTGTAAATTTATTTAATCTCACAATGTACTTCTCACCATTCGGGTACAAAGACAAACGTTTGCAAGTTTTAAAGTCTTTCAAAGAATAGCCATGCAAATGGGTTTTCCTCAATGCTGACTAAATAGTACAAATAATTTGTTGTAAATGATATCTCTAACTAAAGACAAAATTCGACTGGAAATCAAACGTATGGTTTCTTTTGCCCCTGGGTATACAATGCTCACCGTTCCAAGTGCCACCCAAAGATCGTCGTGGTCGGCGTTGCTGTATTCGCGGGACAGGAGATATCGCTGCAAGAGACGTCACCAAACAATCAACATACAAAAATACTGGCAGCAACGAGAAAATAATGGAAACAACGAAAAAATACTCCCAAGCACCGACAAAATAATCGAAGCAAAGAGATATTTCGCCGAAAATATTTGATGCTACATAAGTGGCAGGATTAGTTCGTATGTTTGAACTTGTCAGACACAATGGAGGATTCTGTAGTACATCAGAGTTTCTGATTGGTCACTCGTGTTGTATGATTGACAGGTGGACATAAGTCAATTCAAGCTGAAATCCTGAAAGGGTCTTCATTGATTATGTACTCATTCAAGAGGCTGAAACAAAAGTATCGTCGTGTTATCAGCCTTTGTCACTGACTGACTGACTGACTGACTCACTCACTGATTGACTGACTGACTCACTCACTCACTGACTCGCTGACTCACTCACTCACTGACTCAATCACTCACTCGCTGACTCACTGACTCGTTCACTCACTCACTCACTCACTCACCGTCAAGCCCCTCTGGAACGTTCCGGCGCCGATAAAGAACTTCAACATCCGTATCACAGACCCTCCCTGTTGAAGTAAATGAGATTAAGAAACCACCTTTAGGCGTTTAAATTTTTTAACTCAGATTATGTGTCCTAAACAATTGTAATCGTCGTCGTCGTCTTTTTTTATAATAATTATAGAAAGACAGTACATTCGTTATGAAGGCCATAGTCCCATAATACAGGCAGTGTGTGGTTGCATGAGTAACGCTAGCCAGTGAAGTATTTGATTAAGTTTCTGGTGGCTTTAGTCTTGATTAACTGTAGACATGTGTCACATACAAAACAACATCAAAGGTTTCAGATGATGTCTCAATATGTGACTGGACATACTTTGTGAGATACACGCTTCAATAAAAGGTCTTCCACTTTCTACACAATAGTTACGTAGTCAGTCAATGTACGTCATATTTGTGTAACAAATAAAAGAAGAACATCTCTTATTGCTACTGTGAGTGAGGTGAAATTGGGTTTAACGTCGTGCTTGAGAATATTTCACTCATATGACGACGTGCATGCGTGTGTATTTATATGTGCGGCTGCTTGTACTAGCCCAGACGTAAGCTGGTTTGATAGTGCTAGCCCACTGAGATACCATGCCGCAGTGAAGCATGAATACCCAACTCAGACACATTATACTGACTCCGAGCCGACCAGTCCTTGTTGTACCCATTAATGCCGAGCGCCAGGCAGGGACCAACAAGTACCATATTTTAACGTCTTTTGGTATGACGCGGTCAGGGATCGAACCCTCGACCTTCCGCTCTCCGGACGGACGCTCTTACCACTACACCACATTTTCGTGGTGATGATTATTATTAGTATGATAATTATCGGAGACAAAATCGACTCAACTTCTTTTTTTTATACAGACAAACCAACTTAGAATCTACAGTCTCACCTTGTTATAGGAGATTGAGTCAAATATTTGGTCAATCTCTTCCGGGCTCTCCACGTCAACATAGACCGGATGTGACGTCACACGGCCATCGAACTCAAACACTGGCATGATTTCGTCCACGACAAATTGGTTATACTGTACGAAACAGAAGAGACACAGTGTATTGAGTCTATAGTGTATGCTGAATTACTGTATAGGCGACTTTGGGGGTATCTGCTAATAAAACTTTGGCGATTGACTTGGTTGACACATGTCATCGTATCCCAATTGCGTAGATCGATGCTCATGCTGTTGGTCACTGGATTGTCTGGTCCAGATTCCAATATATACAGACCGCTGCCATATAGATGGAATATTGCCGAGTGCGGCATAAAACTAAACTCACTCACTCACTCTTTAATTTAGAGCGACATCCCATTGGAAACATTAAACTCAATCTATTCCACTTCACCAATATCTGAACCGTGAAGATCCGGGTTAGAATTGTTCTTCAGTAACCCATGCTTGTCGTAAGAGGCGACAGACGGGATCGGGTGGTCAGACACACTGACTTGGTTGACACATATCCCAACTAAGTAGATCGATGATCTTGATGTTGATTACTGGATTGTCTGATCCAGTTATTTCCAACCCGCCGGCATATAGCTGGACTATTGATGCGTGCAAGAAACAAATCAACCAGCCAGTAATCAATAGAATATAAATGAATAACGGCAATTTATATATTACGAGCGCTTCGATTTGCTACGTCGAATCATCAGAAATGCCCGGCAAGAATCCAGCGTATCAATGCTTCTGTCAACCGCAGGGATATCTTGATGAACAATAGAGTTGGACACATCCCCAGAGGCCGATGCTTATTGTACTTGGAGATCGTGTCCTAGTTAACACCAAATACTTTACCTTTAATTTTGTGACAGAATAATGGACGAAAAAATATTGTTTTCAATGTGGAGCAAGATTACCAGCAGATACAACCGTAACACATATAACTATTGAAACTTCAAGCAGGTTCCAGATTCATTTCAGAGAAGGCAAATGTACAAGTAACCTGGCCCTATACTGAAAACACAACATATTTATCCAACATAAATATTTATCTCCTCAAGCACAATGTTTACCATGTCCCAGTTCGGTTCAATAACCTCGGCTCCAAAGTACATGAAGAACGTAGCGAATCCTTCGTTTAGCCACAAGTCATCCCACCATTTCATGGTGACCAAGTTCCCGAACCACTGAAACAACAAAGGGAGATAACTGGTAGGTTCAGGTTAGCCCTCCGATATACAGATCCCAGTCTCCCTAAAACCCAAATACCATACCATGCCATAGAGCCCTCCGATATAAAGATCCAAGTCGCCCTAAAACCCAAATACCATACCATGCCATAGAGTCCTCCGATATAAGATCCAAGTCTCCCTAAAACCCAAATACCATACCATGCCATAGAGCCCTCCGATATAAGATCCAAGTCTCCCTAAACCCAAATACCATACCATGCCATAGAGCCCTCCGATAAAAGATCCAAGTCGCCCTAAAACCCAAATACCATACCATACCATAGAGCCCTCCGATATAAAGATCAAAGTCTCCCTAAAACCCAAATACCATACCATACCATAGAGTCCTCCGATATAAGATCCAAGTCTCCCTAAAACCCAAATACCATACCATGCCATAGAGTCCTCCGATATAAGATCCAAGTCTCCCTAAAACCCAAATACCATACCATACCATAGAGTCCTCCGATATAAGATCCAAGTCGCCCTAAAACCCAAATACCATACCATACCATAGAGCCCTCCGATCTAAAGATCAAAGTCACCCTAAAACCCAAATACCATACCATACCATAGAGCCCTCCGATATAAGATCCAAGTCTCCCTAAAACCCAAATACCATACCATACCATAGAGTCCTCCGATATAAGATCCAAGTCTCCCTAAAACCCAAATACCATACCATACCAGAGCTCCTCCGATATAAGATCCAAGTCGCCCTAAAACCCAAATACCATACCATGCCATAGAGCCCTCCGATATCCAAAAAACCCAAATACCATAACATACCATAAGAGTCCTCGATATAAAGATCCAAGTCGCCCTAAAACCCAAATACCATACCATACCATAGACCGCCCTCCGATATAAAGATCCAAGTCGATCTAAAGATCAAAGTCACCCTAAAACCCAAATACCATACCATGCCATAGAGTCCTCCGATATAAGATCCAAGTCTCCCTAAAACCCAAATACCATACCATACCATAGAGCTCCTCCGATATAAGATCCAAGTCGCCCTAAAACCCAAATACCATACCATACCATAGAGCCCTCCGATATAAGATCCAAGTCTCCCTAAAACCCAAATACCATACCATACCATAGAGCCCTCCGATATAAAGATCCAAGTCTCCCTAAAACCCAAATACCATACCACACCATAGAGGTCCTCCGATATAAAGATCCAAGTCTCCCTAAAACCCAAATACCATACCATACCATAGAGCCCTCCGATATCCAAGATCCAAGTCGCCCTAAAACCCAAATACCATACCATACCATAGAGTCCTTCGATATAAAGATCCAAGTCGCCCTAAAACCCAAATACCATATCATACCATAGAGCTCTCGATATAAGATCCAAGTCTCCCTAAAACCCAAATATCATACCACACCATAGAGTCCTCCGATATACAGATCCAAGTCTCCTAAAACCCAAATGCCATATCATACCATAGACCCCTCCGATTATAAAGATCCAAGTCGCCCTAAAACTCAAATGCCATACCACACCATAGAGGTCCTCCGATATAAAGATCCAAGTCGCCCTAAAACCCAAATACCATACATACCATACCATAGAGCTCTCTCGATAAAGATCCAAGTCTCCCTAAAACCCAAATACCATACCATGCCATAGAGCCCTCCGATATAAAGATCCAAGTCTCCTAAAACCCCAAATACCATACCATGCCATAGAGCCCTCCGATATAAGATCCAAGTCTCCCTAAAACCCAAATACCATACCATGCCATAGAGCCCTCCGATATAAGATCCAAGTCGCCCTAAAACCCAAGATACCATACCATACCATAGAGGCCCTCCGATATAAAGATCCAAGTCGCCCTAAAACCCAAATACCATACCACACCATAGAGTCCTCCGATCTAAAGATCCAAGTCGCCCTAAAACCGAAATACCATATCATACCATAGAGCCCTCCGATACAAAGATCCAAGTCGCCCTAAAACCCAAATGCCATACCATACCATAGAGTCCTCCGATATAAGATCCAAGTCTCCTAAAACCCAAATACCATACCACACCATAGAGGCCTCCGATATAAAGATCCAAGTCTCCTAAAACCCAAATACCATACTATACCATAGAACCCTCCGATATAAAGATCCAAGCCGCCCTAAAACCCAAATGCCATACCATACCATAGAGCCCTCCGATATAAAGTTCCAAGTCGCCCTAAAACCCAAATACCATACCATACCATAGGAGTCCTCTGATATAAAGATCCGAGTCGCCCTAAAACCCAAATACCATATCATACCATAGACCCCTCAGATATAAAGATCCAAGTCGCCCTAAAACCCAAATGCCATACCATGCCATAGAGTCCACCGATATACAGATCCAAGTCTCCTAAAACCCAGATACCATACCATACCATAGAGGCCCTCCGATATAAAGATCCAGAGTCGCCCTAAAACCCAAATACCATACCATGCCATAGAGTCCTCCGATATACAGATCCAAGTCTCCCTAAAACCCAGATACCATACCATACCATAGAGCCCTCCGATATAAAGATCCAAGTCGCCCTAAAACCCAAATATCATACCATACCATAGAGCCCTCCGATATACAGATCCAAGTCTCCTAAAACCCAGATACCATATCATACCATAGACCCTTCCGATATAAGATCCAAGTCTCCCTAAAACCCAAATATCATACCACACCATAGAGTCCTCGAAATACAGATCCAAGTCTCCCTAAAACCCAGATACCATACCATACCATAGAGCCCTCCGATATAAAGATCCAAGTCGCCCTAAAACCCAAAAACCATACCATGCCATAGAGTCCTCCGATATACAGATCCAAATCTCCCTAAAACCCAGATACCATACCATACCATAGAGGCCCTCCGATATAAAGATCCAAGTCGCCCTAAAACCCAAATATCATACCATACCATAGAGCCCTCCGATATACAGATCCAAGTCTCCCTAAAACCCAGATACCATATCATACCATAGACCCTCCGATATAAAGATCCAAGTCTCCTAAAACCCAAATATCATACCACACCATAGAGTCCTCCGAAATACAGATCCAAGTCGCCCTAAAACCCAGATACCATACCATACCATAGAGCCCTCCGATATAAAGATCAAGTCGCCCTAAAACCCAAATATCATACCATACCATAGAGCTCTCCGATATCAAGTTCAAAGTCTCCCTAAACCCAAATACCATACCATGCCATAGAGCCCTCCGATATAAAGATCAAAGAGTCTCCTAAACCCAAATACCATACCATACCATAGAGCTCTCCGATATCAAGTTCAAAGTCTCCCTAAACCCAAATACCATACCATACCATAGAGGCCCTCCGATATAAAAGTTCCAAGTCGCCCTAAAACCCAAATACCATATCATACCATAGACCCCTCCGATATAAAGATCCAAGTCTCCTAAAACCCAAATACCATACCATGCCATAGAGGCCCTCCGATATAAAGTTCCAAGTCGCCCTAAAGAGCCAAATGCCATATCATACCACCATAGACCCCTCTGATATAAAGATCCAAGTCTCCCTAAAACCCAAATACCATACCACACCAGAGTCCTCCGATATACAGATTCAAGTCTCCTAAAACCCAGATGCCATACCATACTATAGAGTCCTCCGATATAAAGATCCAAGTCTCCCTTAAACTCAAAAACCATACCACACCATAGAGTCCTCCGATATAAAGATCCAAGTCGCCCTAAAACCCAAATACCATACCATACCATACCATAGAGCCGTCTGATATAAAGATCCAAAGTCGCCCTAAAACCCAAATGCCATACCATACCATAAAGTCCTCCCGATATAAAGATCCAAGTCTCCTAAGAACCCAAATGCCATACCATACCATTGGGCCCTCCGATATAAAGATCCAGTCGCCCTAAAACCCAAATACCATACCACCATAGAGTCCTCCGATCTAAAGATCCAAGTCGACCTCAAACCCAAATACCATACCATAGAGAGCCCTCCGATATAAAGATCCAAGTCGCCCTAAAACCCAAATACCATACCATACCATAGAGCCCCTCCGATATAAAGTTCCAAGTCGCTCCTAAAACCCAAATACCATACCATGCCATGAGACCCCTCCGATACAAAGATCCAAGTCGCCCTAAAACCCAAATACCATACTATACCATAGAGCCCTCCGATATAAAGATCAAAGTCTCCCTAAACCCAAATACCATACCATACCATAGGAGCTCTCCGATATAAAAGATCAAAGTCTCCCTAAACCCAAATGCCATACCATACCATAGAGCTCTCCGATATCAAGTTCAAAGTCTCCCTAAAACCCAAATACCATACCATACCATAGAGCCCTCCGATATAAAGAGTTCCAAGTCGCCCCTAAAACCCAAATACCATATCATGACATAGAGCCCTCCGATATAAAGATCCAAGTCTCCCTAAAACCCCAAATGCCATACCATGCCATAGAGCCCTCCGATATAAAGTTTCCAAGTCGCCCCTAAAACCCAAATACCATATCATACCATAGACCCCTCCGATATAAAGATCCAAGTCTCCTAAAACCCAAATACCATACCACACCCAGAGAGTCCTCCGATATGCAGATTCAAGTCTCCTAAAACCCAGATACCATACCATACTATAGAGTCCTCCGATATAAAGATCCAAGTCTCCCTTAAACCCAAAACCATACCACACCATAGAGTCCTCCGATATAAAGATCCAAAGTCGCCCTAAAGACCCAAATACCATACCATACCATACCATAGAGAGCCGTCTGATATAAGATCCAAGTCGCCCTAAAACCCAAATACCATACCATGCCATAGAGACCTCCGATATAAAGATCCAGAGTCGCCCTAAAACCCAAATACCATACCATGCCATAGAGGCCCTCCGATATAAAGATCCAAGTCTCCTAAAACCCAAATACCATACCATACTA